GGGAAAGAGAGAAAAGGCAACATTACCTGGGGACAAACCGGCTGGAAAAACTCAAGGGAATGGTTCACCTGCTCCTTAGCCTGTTTGATAAATTAATCTCCATAACGAGGACTCTTCCAGATTCCCAGCTCCGACAAACCAGCACCAAGTCCTTGCTCACATCAGACCCACTGCTCACTGCCAGGAGGAACTGTGGCTGTGTGCACGTGTACAAGTGCATGAATGACCTGGTCATCCCTATGCTAAACTACTGATCTCAGTTATGTGTGGTACCCCCTCCCCACTCCCCTCACCCAGGGGCTGCAGCCTTCAATTCCTCAGCACAAGGCATGCCTAAATCCTGCTACCGTGAAGTATAATGGCTCTGTATCTGCAGTCGTGCCCCACTTAGCTAAAGCCAGCCTCCTGCCTCCTTAAAACTAAAGGCATCATTATGTTAGCTCAAGAAACAGAGCCTTATCTTCTTGGGTACTGAAGGTCCCAGTTTGATGCCTGCTTAGAGGAGAAGCATCAGTGCATGCTGACAGAGCTTACTGTATCACCTTACAGGTAGACATGGGCCAGAACCATGAAGTCTAGATCTCAGTCTTACCCCTTCCCCTCCTCAAGAGCCCCAATTTGGGGATCTGGTTCAGCCCAAAGCTGAGAGGGATTGACATCCACCTTCCCCATGTGTTTAGGCTTTGTGGCTCAAGCTCATCCTTTAACAGAATGAGCCCAAAGATCAAAGCACATCAAGGGTTAACCCCCATCTCAGGGGGGGACTTCTGCAATACGTAGCTCAGGAAGTCCAGGTAGCTAATGGTGGAGAAAGAATTGCCCCCAGGGCATGATGGTGTTCCCGGCAATACAGAAATTGCCCCACAGAATCATGGCCTGTGCCCCAAATCCCAGTTTGTCTCAGCGAAGTCACAAGACAGACGCTCATTAATACACCCAACAAGAGAAAAAGAATATAAACCGTGTCCAGTGACTGTGAGCTTGACCTCAGCTTGGATCTTCCCAAATGCATTCTCTGCTTCGCAGACGTAGGTGGCCTGGTCATCCAGAGATGCACCTGAGGCAAACCAAAAGGAAAGCGCTGAGCAGGGCAGCATACAGGGGCTCAGCCAGGAGGTCTGGGGCATAGGTGAAAACAATTCTGGCTCGCCTTGTGTTGTCATTCACATCTGTCCAAGGCAGGGCAAAGTACCTTTACCTGCTACCAGCCCAAGCCCGTGATATCTTGCACTCTCTTTGCATGAGATGTGCAAGGCAGGAGAAATTCAGAACCAGTAGCTGGCAAATACAAGCCAGGCCAAAGCTGGCTACAACAGAGTACAAGCCAAGGTGCTTGGGGTCACTGTATTCATATGCAATTATTAAAATGGTATAAAATGTAAATAGATAAGAACAGGCCAAACCATCAGCACTAAGAAATACGTGCCTGTGTGCTCCGGCTAAATACACGTGTGATGCCTGTATAAGAAGCACTCCTGCACTGGCAGACACATGGATACACATGCAGAAATGGTGCCCATGGGTCCCGTTTCTCTTACTTTCCATAAAGAGCCCATCCAGACCCAAGCGGCTGGAACTGTGGAGCTGACCGAGCTGGGCAGCAATCGGTTTCCCGTCCCGTCTGGACCACGTAACCCGGGGAGGAGGACGTCCTTCAGCACGACATGGCAGAGTAACGCTCATCCCCATCTCAGCAGACACATCCCCTGGGCGTTCAGAAAACCAAGGGGCAGCTAAAGAGAAAGCAGAAAGCAGCTGAGAGTCTTGGGGTCAGTGCTGATGCTGAGGAAAAATCGAGCAACCTTGGATCTCCTCTGCACCATGAATCTCCTTCCTGATCCAATTCACACCCCACCCCAAGGCAAGCATTGCACTGACCTGTTCGCCTGGGTAGGGTACAAAGAAGGGCTTTCCGCCCCAAGCACTCAAAGCTCCTGAGTCAGGCCCTCCTGGCTTTCCCTTGACTTTGGTGGGCTCTGCAAAGTCCCTCTCCTCCACAGAGGCAGGCTGTGATGATTTGGGGTGCAGATGCTCACCACATGCCAGAGAGAGATGTTGCTTGCTGTTCCCTCAGTGCCACTCAGTGGCCAGGTTTCCAATATGCCCTCTCAAATGGGTCAGTGCCCAACAAGATGCCCCAGTCACCTGGTACCACGCCTGCGGGAGCTATGCTCACGGGATATTTGCTCATGCCAGCCTGTGGGCCCACATCTGAGAATTTCGCTCACAGCTTGGGCCAGGCGATGCTCTCTGTTCAGCCCTGTGTCCACCCAGCACTTGGGCAGTGGCCTATGCTGCAACAGGCAAAACACTCAGGATGCAGTGCCAAGACCACGGTACCCAATTGTCCCTTTTGCTTCTCACACGGAGCAGAACAGCGTCAGGCCCAGGCCACGTGCTCTTCCCTCGAGCTCTGGTTCAACGTCTAATGGTACAAGATCCCCCACCTCCTGCCTGTAATCCCGAGCCTAACACCATGCCACAGAGCCTGCACTTCAGAAAGAGTAGCCGTGCATGGGATCCGACTGCCTCTGACACCAGGGCAGCGCCAGCATCAGACAGCAGGCAGCCCGCTCCTTTCCCTCGTCGGGCTGGGTGAAACCTGGGAACCGTGGTGCTCTGCAGCCCTACAAGGCGCTTTGATCTCGATTGGATCAGCACGTGGGAAACAGCCGGCGGGGTGGGGGTGGTCCGACAGAGCCCCCCCGCCAAACCGCCCACACACACACACCGCACACCCAGCATCTGTCACGTCGGAGGAGACAGCAAGGGCCGGCCAGTGCACAAGGCAAGGGGGAGTCTCCGTTTAATGTTTTATTTGGGCTGCTCCTCTCCAAGCAACGCCTGGCTGCTTTGGGCCTCTGCTCCTGGTCCAACACGTGCATGTGCACACAGACATTTTAGAGCCCCCCCTCAGGGACCTCCTCCAGCCACAAATGATAATCCACAGCTGCTGGGCTACTCACCCGCCCCCGATTCCTGGCGCACCCCAAAGAGCAGGGAGGCAGGATCTATCAGTGTCAATATGGGCTGAGGTCCAACGGCGACTTCAGCCCACTTAAGCATCCCTCTCTCCCCCCACAGGCCGGCAGGTGCCAGCAGACTGCGCCGGCAGTTTGCAAAGGGCTCGCCTGCATGACCACTGTAGCCAGACTGGACCCAGTTCGACCATAAGTTTGCACTGTGCCATAATGGGCTCAGGAGGCTGTGGTAACATAGCTAAGTCCCCTGCTTGGGATACAGTCATAGCAAAGAAAAGGCTCGAGTCGCCCAGGCCAAAGCCCCTCTGGGTGATGGAGGGGCCATTATAGCAGGACCCAGAGGGCAGCCCCCATCCAGGCCTCAGCTGCAATGTGTGGAGGCTGCAAACATCACAGCCAAAGAGTGTTTACAGAGATGGGGGTGGCAGGTGGGGGCCAAATCCTCAGGTAGCCCCAGGGCAGGGCCCTTGGCCACAAGGGTTGACGACCAAGCCATCTCCTACAGCCCTCAGCAAGACACTGAACTCCTTAAAGCCTCAAAACAAGCAGAGCCAGAGTGGCACGGCCCCAGAACAGCCCCTGGGGAAGCAGCTGATGGGGGCTTTCCTTTCCCTCCCAACGTGGACTCGTGGGAAGCTGCCAGCCAGTGGTGAGGAAGAGCAGCATTGCCAGCTGGTTGGTATGAGCTGCTCCATGGTGCAGGCATGGCGCCCTGTTCAGCTCAGCAGGACCTGATGCCAATGTGAGGCAGGCCAGCTGGCAGCGGGGAGGATGGCACTCCCAGATAGCAAGCAGAAAGGGCTCCATCGGTATAGGCAGGACTTACCCTCTCACAGGGAACTCACAGGGTAATACCCCTCCAGAGCTGGCATCCCCCAGGCTGTGAATGCTTTCTCTGGGCCTCAGCCCATTTTCTCACCAGCTCTGGCTAAGCCTCCCAGCTCCTATCCCCTGCATGCCAGACCATGAGAACGGCCAAGAGCCAGCTGCCCACACCGGCAGGCTGATGGCACAGCCAACAGCACCCAGCACCCAGGATGGTGTGGGGCTGGCAAGGACCTGGTGCCTGAAGAAATCCCCTCCGCGACCCACACGGACCACAGCTGCTCAGCCCTGGGCCTGCAGGAATGGGCGGTGAGGGGGCTGTCTTGTTTCGAGATGGTTCAGCTTCCTCATTCCCCAGGAGAAAGGCCAGGCTGGGGCTGGCGCCAGCTGCAGCCCACACCATAACATATGTGGTGAGTGATGCCTCCCCAAGAAGGGAGCGTGGGCTCAGCCAGACCCCACCTGCGCTCCCCAGGGGCTGCGGGGCTAAGGTCTGGGGGGACAAGCGCAGCGTTTGCAGTAGACAAGTCCCAGCTTCTAATCCCAGTTTGGCCACCTCCCAAGCAGCTCGGAGCCGGACTGCGCCTGGGTGTGTCCCTTCACTAACAACATTCATTCAGGAGCACAGAGAGGCCAGACCACTGCTATTGCTCGGAGAGCTTGTAACCAGCCCCTCCACTCAGCGACAGCAGGCTGCTAGACAGGATCTCTCATCTATGCCTCCCCTTTGCATGCAGTTCAGCACAGATGCTCCAATACAGTTGCACAAGCCATGCTCAGGGCTCAGTCCCACAGGGCTGCTGGCATCTGAAGGACACTGTCTTCCAGGTCTTTCTAGCAGATGCACAAGCCTGCCATGAGCTGTGCTGTGCTGGGCTGCTCCCAGTGCAGTTAGACCCCATTGCAGGAGGCAGGGGGCTGCAGGCTGCACAAGCCCCACAAGCTCTGGGGAAGGCAGAGCCCCTCTTGTGCAGCCTGCTGGGCTGGGGTATCACAGGTCTTTGATAGCAAGGGCAGCGCTGTTGCAGCAACAGAGAAGGGGCCAGCTCCTGGCAATCAGCAGAGCTGGATGCAGCCAAAAGGAAGGAGGGCTGCAGATGACAGGAGGTCAATGCCCATCAGCAGCGTCTCACACCAGCTGTGCCTCTGAACAAACACCTTCCTTCTCTACTGCAGATCCTACCTGACCAGCCAGCAGACTACGGACACCTCTCACCAGGCCGTCTGTCTGTCTGCTGGATCCGTGCCTTTCCCTGCGACTCAGTCCCATACTCGGTTTCCCCTACACCAGTCCTAGAATTTGTTTTTTTAATATCTTCAGCTTCACACGCTGTGACCAAAGCAGACCCTGCCTCCCATCCTCAGCACACCCAGTGTTTGCCAGCCTGCTTCCCTTCTCTAAGCAGGGATGGAGAAGACTCCCTGGACCATTGCTGCTAATTAACCGTGAATGCTAATTAATCTGTGCACTAGAGAGGTCAGCCCACACCCTGGCCTTTTCCCTGGAGGAGCAGTTGCAGCTGGTCTCCCCAGCCTCCCCTGCAGTTCCATATTTCTTCATCTTCTGCCCTCAGGTGTCAGGCATTAATCATCCCGCGGTTTCACAACTCTTCACTGTTCCCAGCTAGACCCTCCACTAGGCAGCATGGTGCTGGGCTGCAGCATTTTCACCCAGCTATGGCTGGAGTTCAGTGCTGTAGGAGCAAAGGGGCCATGCTTGTATCATGCATCGAGAAGTGAAATCCATCTTCAAGTGCACCCTCTAAAACCCCCAGATTTCAAGAGGCTACAAAGCTGAGGACAGGATGGAAGCTCAGTCTGCAAAGACGTATACCATGAACCTCAGTTGTGAGCCATGGCTGTGGGGGAAGCCGGGGGGCAGAGACTCCCCATAATACCTGAGGCAAAATCAGTGACCCTGGGCGAACAGACCGTTCCTGTCTAACCTCCCACGCAGCCTTTCACAGGAATACCGCGCTCGCCACGCTGTTAAGTCATTTGCCTTTAAGGGCCTGAAGAAGCCGAAGGCTCGTGGGGAAAGACTCACCTCCAACTTCCAGTATGATGGCATCAAAGGACACCCCCTCCTCGCTGATGGCTTCGCAGACATACTCCCCCGCATCACCTTCCCGGACCGCCTGCAGCTGCAGGATGCCACGCTGGGTGCCCGGCAGGGAAGATGCCACCTCTTGCTCCCCTGCAAGAGGGAATATGCTGCAGGTCATGTCTGTACCCGTCACAGCCAGAAGCCCCTTCGTGCTCCTCCTGATGCCGGAAGCAAGCATGGCTGTGGCGAGCCATGGGCAAGCCTTCAAAAGGCAGGAGGGTGGGTGCGCTCAGATCCTGAACCAAGGCTTCCTCAGGCCCCTTCTGCCCGTAGAGCAGAGGCAGGAATCTCTCCACAAGGTCCTCCCCCAAGACTCCCTGTCATTGCCAACACGGAAAGCTCAGGTGGGCAAACTCTTGCAAAGCCAGCTGCCTCTCCTGGGGTCCAGGAGTGAGGCGAGGCTGAGACATACTCATTGCCTGAGCGGAGCGGGGAGGGAGAACGTGTCTGTGTTACCAAGCCTTGCACGGGTAACGAAGGTCCATGCCAGCCATACCTTTGTACCAGATGATCTGGGGCGGGGGTACCCCCGAAACATGGCACTCCAGTATCGCATCTTCTCCCAGCAGGGCATGGACGACTGGTGTCACCGCAGTGATGTGGGGCGATTCTGTATCCACAGCACAAAACAAGAAAAGAAAAAGCTCTGAGTCACTTCTAGGTTAGAGCATAGCTTGTGTGGATGCCACAGGCAAGCATGAGACATCCCAGCGCCCATCACAACCCAGGAAGAGGGACACGGCTGGAGATGGTGAGAAAGCCCAGAGCCCGCTAAGGGCCCCCAGTTCATCGGCTTGTGGCTAAACTATTAAGCAGGCGTGCGCTGCAATAATCCACTCCCTTGGTAGGCTGGAGGGAGTTTTGAAAGTGAGAGTCTGATAACAAGGGTAGACTTTAACCCCCTGAACCTGGGAAGAGCCACAAAGCACAGCAGCGCAAGGAAAATCCCCCCAAGCACGTCAGTAGTGATACAAAGCTCATTGCCTTCACTTGACTCTGGCTTTGCAGGATGTCTGTAGCACAGTGACCCCAAGGCCAGTGGTCCTATTACTATCCTCCGCAGAGGGCCCTATTGCCTGGTGTCAAGAACATCAAGGCCTTGGTCCAAGATCAAGCTTCCTAGGTACTGTTATGATAGACATAGTAAGTACTAGATATCATGATCGTCCTGTGCAAGGGCCTGACCCAGGACATGCTGAGGTCCTGGTCTGGGGCAGCCTGGGGGAGTGGGTACCTGCATACACCAAAACAGCTGTTTGCTCATCCCATCCAATTCGACTGGCAGCATAGCAGCTATAGTTCCCAGCATCCCCTCGGACAGCATCCTTGATTGTCAGGGTGCTCTGAGCATCTATATGGAACCTGGATGAAGAAAGAAGAAAGCTGGGAAACACAGATTTGTCCCAAAGCAATGCTCAAGAAAACATGATGAAGCACAGGGACAGAAGCATGACTGGCTTTAAATGTGTCCTTAACACCTGTCCTAAAAAGGCAGCTGTCTCGCAGCCCGGGAGCCAAGCTATTGAGAGGGTTACCTGCCACCTGTTACCAGTGCTCTGCCCCACCGTCTCCAGGAGGTCCAGGGTGCCGGGTACCCCAGTGCTGTGCAGTCGATCCTCACCTCATCGCCCCAGGTGAACTGCTGCAAGCTGGGGTCCACCCTCACACGGGGTGGCTCTAAACGGAGACATGCACAAGGGATCACGTATCAGCCTGTCAAGCTTCCAGCCTCAGAGCCCCAACCTCTGCCTCTCCCCCTCCTGTTTCCACGGGGTGGGAACACAATGCAAAACAATGGCATAGAAAGCAAAGGAGCAGAGAGCAGTCATCCTTGGCTGCTGAAGTGGAGATGTCCCTCAGGACAGGACAGACAATACAGGGCCAGAGGAATGAGTGACCAGGGCACCCAATGCTGCCCTCTCCTGCTGCTAAGTGAGGAGACTAGGCTGATGCATGGCCCAAGGACCCTGCGCAGGAAGCAGGGGCTCCCCAGAGGCTGCTTGCTCTGCTAGAGCATCAGGCCAGGCTCGATCTCAGCAACCACAGACCCAACAACTACTGAAGACATTGACCCTGGCACCACTTCCACCCACTTAGGGGACAGCACAGCCCCTTGCAAGCAGCTCCCTGGGGGCAAGGTGCTGTCTAGGATCCCTGATGCTTGGCAGCATGCCCTGGAGGAGCCATGGGGCCTCCCACGAGATCAGAGTCATAGTGAATCTGGATCCTAACCGGTGACCGACAACAGCCCAGGACGCAAGGCTCAGACACAGCGCAAAGACGGGGCTGCTTACCTTGCACCACGAGCCAGATGGAAGCGTTTGCTGTCCCATGCTCATTGCTCACCAGACACTCGTACCGGCCACTGTCACCCAGATGGACACTGTTGATTTCCAGTGAGAGGTTCCCCAGCACCCACACCCGGCTCTCATCCGCCTGCAGCAGCTGCCCATCCCGGTGCCAGGTCAGGTTATAAACATCCCCTCCCAAGACCAGGCACGACATGATCACTCCTGCGCCCGGCACTGCTGTGATGTTCCCCGGGGGCAGCAGACGTGGAGGCGGCTCTGCAGGGGGGAAGCCAAACATGGGGGTCAAACCACCGCCAACCTGAGCTGAGTCGCTACCAGACACTGTCCCCGAGAACTGTCCAACTCCCAAACACTGAGCTTTGGGCATTAAATAGAAGCAATGCATGGGTGCAGAGACCTCAGGGCTGCCTGCTGCCCTGGAGACTGATGTGCGATTGCATACGGATCCAAATGTGCCCCGCGCCCTCCAGGACTGACCTGTGACAGACACAAAGGTCCGAGCTCGCGTGGCCCCGACCTTGCTGGTGGCAGTGCACTCATAAAAGCCTTCATCGCTTTGGGAAGTCACGGGGATCTCCCAGCTGCTGTTCCCAGAGCTCCTGGAGGACACAAAGGGAACAAGAACCCCTGTGAGACTGGACAAGAGCTCCAGGGGCTTTGCTGGGCTCTTCCCGTCAGGCACGAGCCAAGGTTTCTCACTGTGGCTTTTTGTCATTCCAAGTGTCTCAGTGTTGTGTGGTCCAGCACCCCCTGAACTTCAGGACCTTGCCAGGTGTCTCCCTGGAGACTCCCAAAGCAAAGAAATCACTAGTTGCTCTTCAAACTCTTGTCCACCCAAGGGCTCTTTTTGAAGTCTCTCCCCAGCGGATCTACCAATGAAAGCAGTGACAGGAGCACCAGGACATGTGCACTGTCTAGACCTGCTCAGAGCTGGGCCAGAAGACCCCACTGCTGCCTCTCTGCACCAGCACTTGTCCCTCTAGATGCTGTCACCCTGCAGCCATTGGAGACACTAAGCAGCACTCTCTTGCCCCTGTGCACCAAGCACATCATGTTAGCAGAGACCCAGGCTGGAGGTTTGGGGTCTCGCACGTAGAAATGCTGCAGCCAAGCAGATGAGGAACTCATCACTTAATACACTGAAGCCAGTTCCTTTCAAACAGCTCTGGGCAGTATAACCATCTCAAACTGGCAGCCAGTACAAAGGCGACACACGCTGACTCTGCAGTGATGGCAGCTGACAACAAGCAGGCCTCGGTGGAAATCCAAAGTGGAAGGAAGTTGTCTTCCTACGTCCCTGAGCAACCCCTGTTCTTTGCCATCCATTGACAGCACACAGGTTTGACCAGCAGAGCCTCAAAGACAGCTGCATCCCAGTAACTGTAAGTGTCCAGACTGCTGCTGGAGGTCAGCAGGACCCCAGAGCAGAGCAGAAAGCAGCCCAGCCAGCTCCACTTGATGCAGATGAACACGTGTGGGAAAAGCCAGGGCATAGCCAGCAGCCTACCCAGGTGGAAACCTAATTCCAGAGCCAGGTAGTGTTGGACCTACCAGAGGAGCACACAAGGATGCACAGCATAGTCCTATACCACGGCACAAATAACTTCCTGTCCCCCTGATCACTTTGCCCTGGAGCACAAGGATTATCATCCTGGCTCATGTAGCTGCAGGTCCTATTCCTATCTGTATGCGACTGATCTGCGTTTGGGGAAATCAACTTACTGTGGCAACAGAGCCAGAAACTCACCTGAGAAGCCGCTCTTTGCCCAGCTTCTTCCCACCCCGACTGAGCTGCAGTCGGAAAGGGAGCTCACTCTGGGCAGAGCAGGTGATCAGCAGAGGCTCCTGATTGTACGCTTGGATTTTTCCAGGCATGTTCACTTTGGGTAGACCTGAAGGGGTGGGAGCACGGTGCGTCAGAGAAGCAGTTCTCATAAACAGAACAAGAATTGCGGGTCCCCGCAGTATGTTATTCATGCACTAGACGTTTCTGTGGGATGTAGAGCGGACATAGCGACTCACCTGGGACCACGCTGGTGTAGGCAACTCCAGAGAGACGCTGCAGTGGGTGTCCCTCTGAATCTTCCCCCTTCACTTGCAGCAAGAAGCTCCCAGCAGGAGCCTGGAATGGGGGTCCCACCCAGAGCTGGCCAGAGGAGCCATTGGACAAACGCCATGTGGGCAGGGACAAGAGGGGCTGGCCAGAGGTGTTACGCAGCTCAACAGCCTTCAGATGCCCCGGGGGCTTGAGGCCGCTGCAGTTAACCATCATGGAGATCGGAAGTCCTGCAGGGACATGGCAGACAGGGAAGGGCAAGGAAAGACAACACATCCCGGTGAATCGCTGCAAGCAATCCTCTTCCACACTCGCACCACCACAATCGCCCACACCTTTCAGCAATGAGACAGCTGGCCTGCTGTGACCATGGTCCTGTCACCGATCCTGTCTTACTGTCACCCTCCGCTCCACATCAGTCTGTCTGTACCCACTTGCTGTCTCTCCTCTTATTGTCCTGAAAGCTCCTCAGGCACGGACTATATTTGTTCGGTGGCTGTGCAGCACCTAGCACACTGACACCGAACTGTCTGCACAGCACCTAGAGCACGGCAGCACCTACTGCACTGCACTGCCAGTCTATTAGGGCAGTACTTGCCACAAAGAGAAGCTGCCCTGTGATTGGGGTCTGCAAGTATAAATAATGGACAATGTCTACCGGCCCCGGCAGGCTGCAAGCTCTACAGAAGGTTGCTCTGAGGGTCTCTCTCAAGCTTCAGCAAGCAAAGATGTGGCATCTTGCTCATCCAGCTAAGCAGAGCACAGCAGAGAGAGGTCACATCTTCTGCTCCATGAAACCTCTACCCCTCCATGGGGTTTAGAAACAGCAGCTCCACCTCCCCACACGCACACATGCATACATGCCCTGGGGGGCCGCAGGAAATACCTTGGACAGGCCGTTCTTCAGGGTGGTTCAGGTCAAACGTAGGCTGGCTGGAGAAGCTGGCTCGAAAGTCGATGTTGCTGACTCCCGTGATTCTCACTGAGTGGCGGTCGCTGCTGCCAACCTGAAAGCCAGGCACAAACTGAATGTGAAGGAGGCACCCCGACATGTGTGAGAGGGGAGCAGATCTGACACCTGAAGCCATCCGCCCTGCAGGATTCAGGCTCGGGGAGAAGGAAAGGGCTGCAGTAAACCTCATTTGGCCCTTTGTGGGCAGGAAGCTCACACTTCTTCCTGCAGCCCTGGAGACTGCAATGCAAGCCCAGGGGGCAGTGACATCTTCTGGTTTACTGGAGCCAAATTCTCTGATGCACACGGGAGCAATCCCACCGACTTTAACGGAGTTTCGCCTCTGCATCAGTGGAGACCTCAGTCCTGGGGCTGTAGACTTGATCTCCAAGTGACTTTCTCTAATGCCTCCCTTTCTGAGAAGCCCCATTTCCCTGTTTTTCAGTGTCCTTGGCTCTACCTGGAGTCTCCAGAAGCATCCAGAGCTGCTGGATGGCCTCTGTGATCCAGAGCAGACTTGGTAGTGAAAGGGCAGAGCCCAGCCCCTGTGCCTGCCTGCACTAAGGCAGAGATCAACACAGTAGACATGGGACCCTGGAGCAGCATTAGACGGGGAAGGCTGCCCAACCTGGCCCCAATTAGCAAGACGGCTAAAGAGGCTCCCCACTGGTGTGAAGAAGGCAGGGGCTGAGAGAGGAGTTTGCTCCTGTACCTCCCTCCACATCTTGCTGGGCAGAAGGAAGAACCCGTCAGGCAAAGGCTTCTGCCTACTCTAGGGTACCGGACTAGGTGGATCCTTGACCTGGCACCACTTCCAGTTCCACCTTACCTTGACTGACCACATGCCCGGCATGTAAGGCTTGAATGACACCACCTTGGCAGAGTCCGGGATGTTGAGAAGCTCCTTCAGCCCCCAGCGCTTCTGAAGGATCCTACCTGCAACAGCAAAAGGGAATCCTTGGGTTCAAAGTGTCCTGGTCTCCCTCCCCAGGGAGGCTGTACCATCCACTGGGACACCAAATGGCTGGGGACATCCCAGCGTGCTTCATAAAGAGAAAGATGCTACGCAGGCTGCTGCCTACTGCAGCATGTGAAGGGACCAGGGAAGTATAGCCCGGTCTCTGTCGCTCTGCAGCAGGCCTGCTTCCACGTCTCAGCCTCCCAGGGTGGTATCCATCTCACTGGCGTCACACAGACCAGCCTGGTCTTCCTTTTCCCATTCTTTTCTCTGACCTCACCTCTCCCTTCCCAGGCTCCCTGTTCTGCCCACACCAAGCCTTCAGTCTTGGCTCCCTCTCTGTTCCCTCCAAGAGGTCTGAACAGCTGGGATGGACACCCCTTCCCCCAGGTGGTCCATGGGCAGGAGTCACTCTCTTCCCTGCTTCAAGCCCCCATGCCACTCCTCACCCTCCTGGTGCCCTAAGCTCTCTCTGCACAAGGTTGCTATCCCCACTGACCACAGCGCTGCAGAAAAACAGGCTGGGACGGGTGATCTGCTTGGCTGAAGAGCCATCCTTTGGCAGGGAACAGGAAACCTGGAGGGGCTAAGAGAAAAGCAGCTCTTATAAAAGTGAAATATCAGTTGAAGCCTGGAAGGGGCAGAGACGTACACTGGAGCTTAGCAAGTGCTTTGTGGCCCACTGTTTCTTCCTGGTGAGGGGTCAGCTCCACGGCTGCACTTCCAAAGACAGATCCGGGGAGGTGTCAGCCATGTGGTCCCTTGAAGAACAGCTCAGCTGGGCTCTTCCCAGCTCTCAGTTCCCATCTGCTCAAACAAGCTCCTGCAGGCGGGTTACCCAGGGGCACCAGACTCAGGACCGTTCACCTCCAGAGCACAGGCCCTTACTGCTTTTGCTGAGGGACCCAGGGAAACTCCACTGTGCATCACACTTCTGGGCCTCTCCCTCTTTCCCTTGCCCCAGATGGAAACCTGCTTACTCAAAGTGTGGCAGTACATACCTGTCGGGTCCCTGACTTCAATCTCTGGAGCAGGGCCACTCAGGGAGATAGTGACCTTCTTCAGGCTGGGGTCAAAGGGGAGTAGCCACGTGCGTTCCCCACCACGCTCGTGGTCAGTGGACAACAGGTGGACCTTTGAGGCCTGGATGGCTTCTTCGACCCACTTCAACACCTGGGGAGCACACGGAGCAGGAGGATGCACGCAGGGTCCCATTTCCCACCCCCCCAAAATGTTGTGACATGATAAGGGTCCAGGCACAGATCAATGAAACTAGGGGAGAAATGCACCCTGTATTTCTACACAGCTCCATTTCACTACCCAAGCATGGAAAAGGGAGCCCCCCTACCAGGATTCAAACGATACAACATAGAAGTCGGAAAGCAAGGCACGGCCTCCCCAGCCATATGAGAAAGCCAGTGGGCCTTTGACAGGGCTACACCCTTACAGATGTAGAAATCAGGGTTGCTTGATGCCACACAGTGAGGACATAGGGGTGGGGAGAGGATCCCAAACAAGGCAAGTGATCTCCTGCACAGGACAGAGGGCCAAAATCCTCAGCTGGTGTAGCCTGACACAATGCCACAGACTTGCCAGCCCTTGGCCTTTACTCTGAATTCTCTGTGCTTGCCGGGCGCCGGCGCTGGGAGGAGCTGGAGGCAGGCAAGAGGAGGCAATGGCAAAGATGGATTGTGCCAGTGTAAAAGGAATGAAATAATCAGGTGTAATTATTATTGCCAGATGGCTCCCACTCAGCTGCTCCGAGCAGACAAATTAGCCCCCTTGCAACATGCCCTTGGGAATACAGAGTCATTAGACTTTGCAGCCGCCAGAGGCTGAGATGGGGGAAAGGCTGAAAGGGAGCTCACCAGGAACATGCTGCTCAAAGCAGAAAGGCTTTGCTCTTCCTCCAGCTCTCCATGCCCTCCCCAGGCAGGGTGGTCGCAATTCTCCAGGCAGGAGTCTCCCTTTAGACTCCACTTTCCTTACTGAGGCACCGGTCTGATTTGATAAGGCTTGGACTCGCATCACGACACTGAACTATTGAACTGGATGCATAAATTGAACTGGAGAGAGCTGGGACTACTCATCTGAGATCACACAGGAGCAGACTCCAGATCTCCTAGACACCTGCTTAGCGACTAAACAAAGCCTCTTTCTCCAGGTCCCTGCTTAGCTTTCAGGCAAGACCAGGAGATGGCATTGGCATAAAAGTCTTCTCATCCGGATCTCTGAACCAGGCGGTCTCACCTATATAAAGTGAACAGAGACTTCTCCACAAAGCTCTTAAGGGGGAGCAGCCCCTGAGACAGCGATCGATGCCAAAGAAAGCTCCACTGTGTCTACTTTGGCTACATTTAAGAGAGATCAGTTCGTGCCAAAAAAGTTTTTTACTGATAGCTGGGTGAGTTCACCTGAACTGAAAAGGAACAGGATCAGGTCATTCTAGCCAGCCATCAGAACCTCATCACCCTGAAATCTTTCAAGGTTGGAGCCAACAAGGACTTAATAAAACACCGGAGGTGAATCATCACATCCTCGTGATGAAACCCCACTGCAAATTCTTCACCACAAGAGCTCCCGCCTGCCAACCACAGCCCAATGTATTTGCAAGGAGGGTATCCTGGCACACTGGACTTGGAAGATAACTATAAGCAGCATCACAGGGAGGAAGGGTCACCACCACAATGGCACCAGGAGCCAGAAGAAAGGTTTCTGAGGCCTAGTCCAGAGCAGAGAGAGCAAGAGTGATGGCCACCAACTTGGTCAGTACCCGAAGGACTGAACCAGGGCCGATCTCCACAGGCGTCACAGGTTAGGCTAAATCTGAAGCTACTGTTGCTGTCTCTCATCCTCCACAAACACTTGCTCTCCCCCAAGGGTAAAAACAGGAGGGAGATTTCTCCCTGAACACCCTGCAGTGCCTTTATCACTGGGGCATATGTGCAACAGATAGATGTATGCACCTGTGGATGACTTTCCTGGACCTCAAACCAGAGCCAGTCCCAGCCAGGTACCACCACAGCCTGACTTAATAGCTCATGTCTTTTCCGCTCACCTCCTTCACTTGCTGTTTATCCAGGTGGAATATCTGCCCCGAGCTGGTAGCAGCGATTTCTTCGTACACCTGGTACCCAGGATGACTTCTGTCCCCACAGTCCCCCGTCAGCACAAACACGACCTGCCAGAGAGCAGTGCACAGTGGCCGAAATCAGGAGAGACCGTGCATCCTGGAAGGAGGCAAAACCTCACCACAAAGAACAGGTTAGCATGGACTGCGCTTACAAGCACTCTCCACGCCTTATGTATGTAGAGTTAGTTGGTCGGCCATGGACCAGCAACCTGTGCCGCTGTGGGGATTGTAGGGCTCATGAAGCATGGTGCTGCTGGGCATGGCCAGTGGCTCTTTTTGGGCAGCTCTTTACATCATTCCTGTGAGGACTCAGGGTGCAGATGTTCACTAATGGGGCCGAGGGGAAGGAAGACCCCTGGGAAAGCCGCAGCAAGCCCAAAGCCAGGCTCTCACCTGGGACTGCTTGAGCTGCAGGAGCCGCAGCACTTCCTGCTTCTGTGCATAGTCCTTGGCCCGTGCATCCGAGAAGACATAAATGAAGGATCCCGGGTGCGAGATCTCCACGGCCAGCTGGATAGCGCCCACGCTCATCTCCGGGCAGTCCCCTCCACCCTGCAATCAAGGAGCCCTTTAGAGAACATCAGCAATCCTCACAGAGCCCCCAGCAAGAGCTGCAGTGATCCCAGCAGGAGCTAGGACTGCATTTCCGCTAGGGATGGGAGACTGTGCCCTGCCATCGCTGCCCCGTCTTGCAAGGCCTGCTCTGCCCTGGGACCTTCCTGCAGACAGAGACAGCAGCCCCCTGGCACTCACACAGGCTTTGAACATGGGGTGGAGGAGCCACCCACCCCAACAGCAGCTTCACGGGGTGCTGGGCTCAGCCGTAAAGCAGCATCAGTGCTTAGTCACAAGCTGCATTTCAGGAGGCTCAGGAGCCCTGACGGACTCATTCCTTTATGGCCATCAGGCTTCCACTTTGACGGGGTTAATAACTAAACTAATCATCTCTGAAGCCCTTGTAGTCACTGGAGACCATCCCAGGACCCACGGGAACACTCGCAGTCATCTCTACCACTTCTTACTGCCGCTCTTTTCAGCATCTCTACCACTTACTGCTCACATCCGTATCCTGCTTGTAATGCCTATTTAATATCTGTTAGCACTTTATCGCCAGAACATGAACACAAAACGTTCTCTTTGCAAACCCAGGGGACTTGCCCCACAGGCATTCAATAAAGGATTTGTCTAACTTTTGAGCTTCCCAAAGCCTTGCAATCCTCCTTCCAGCCAAAGAGTTTCATCTCACGCACAGAAAAAAGCAGCTAATTGCCAGCTTTCCTACAGACCCGGAAAAAATGCTCACTTAGGAAAGAGTTATTACTTCCTTTACAGCCTTCAAGCTTCCAGCTGATGTATCCCATGGACAAAGCAATTCAATGGACCACTCAATCATAGCCATGCATTTCAGGCAATGAATTATTACTTAAAGAGTAATGCCATACGTTGTCTAACATTTGCATGCTGCTTTGCATCCCTGAGGTGAACAACGAACTTTAGAGCTGTATATTTATGTGCCCCACTTTCAGGGCAATTTACATAAAAATGGATCACTCAGGTTTATAAGCGTGACATCAATCCCTCCCTCGCCGAAACACAGCCACCTCCGAAGAGGAACATGGTGGTCATTTAAAAGCACGCAAGAGTTTAGGGCAGGAAGAAAAGAAAAATACAGGCTCCAATTAAACCAGCCAAGGATGGTTAGACTCGCAGAATGTAATTATTAGGAAATTCCCACTGAAACCTTTTTTTTTTCCTGATGGAAAAAGGCCTTTTGACTATGTGGAAGTTGTTTTTATGACCAAAAATCCCAGGTTTTGATTGAAAAGCTGAAAACCAATCATGTTAAAAATGGAGGATCAAACAAGTTTTGCTTTGGGGACATCTAACCTTTGTGTGGGGGGATCACTCCCTGAAACACCCCTGGTAAATCCCCATGGCAGGCTCAAAGCCAGACCATGCCCATGTAGAGAGCCTCTGGGCATCTTTAACTGGCAGAGTGGGCTGAGCAAGACCTTGGCATTTCAGTCTCATCCAGGTAGTAGCTCCAGCAGACAAGCATCCCTTGGCCCTTGCTGGGGCACTGACCATGGGAGAAGTTCACTCTGCAGCCGGCTAACACCGAGAAGTCAGCCACAACCTGTGACCGTGACTGGTCCAGCTGGGCACAATGTCGCACAGCCCCTGAGGGTGCTCTCCCCCTGTGCCATGTCCTGACCTGGCACCTGGGCAGCCCTACATAGTGCAAGCTGCCCCTTTTCTGGGCACAGAAACAAGGCAGGCCTCTGGTATGAGACGTGCTACCAGAATCTGTTCTTGAATGGAGGCTGCACGTGACAGCGAGGACCAGGCTCACAAAGGTGGAGGAGGCAACTAAGACCTGTCTCTTCCCCCGCCCACCCCAAGTCTTGTTTCATGGCAGCTCAGCTTAAAACAGATCCTCAGCACGGTGGGGTTTCTGCCTCCACCTCAGCCAGTCAACAGGCTGTTTCCAGGCTGGCTCTAGCACAGCTTTCTCACACCATCACTGCCGCTTGCTAGCTGCCGGTGCTGCAGACTATCCACAAATGCCACCCATCGTACCTGAACATAGAGCTCGCTGAGCTCTCGCTGGAATTCCCTGGGATCCGCCGTGATGAAAGCTGGCCCAATCTCTGCCAAAGAAACAGAGACAACCAACACGTCAGCTCAGTCCCACATTTCTTTACAAACACCCTCTACTGTGGCAGTGGCTGTGGCCGCCCTGACAAAGCCAAGAAGAGAAACTCTGGGACCAGATGTAAGGCTGGAGCCCTCAGTGCAGTTAAAGACTGGTTGGTCATGCAGCACAGACACAGCCCTAGTGCTAATTAGGTTACCAAATCGCACTATAGCGTTGGGCTTTAGCATGGACAAGGTTAAAATGTGGTTCAGTCTGGTGTGGCCTCCACGAGCAACAGCACAGACCAAGCTTGGATTGCGATGTGATGGGGACTTGGCTGAGCATGTATGGAGCAGATGTTGTGGGCATCAGACATCCCAGGTTAGAGCAACATAAAGCTCAGCCTGGAGGACTGGGACCTCCCTTAGTAGCTAGGACCACAATGCCAGTTAAATCAGTAGGATCCACCCCAGAGAGACAACCGCTTTGGCTGCACTGTCATACAAAGGGGCATATTAGAGGGAGCCCACACATGGTACCTGGTCTGAAATACCAGGAGCACCTCCTCCATGGACAACCCTGGCAGAAAGAGGAGCTGCCTGTGCTAACGGACAAGCCAAATGTTCTCTCTGTTACACGAGGCCGAGGCAACCCACAGACCGAGCAGAGGCTGGGTCAAGCCAACAGGCCCTCTTCCTGTCCTAAGGCACTGAATCCTCCTGAGAATCCACCTAGCACCTCTGATAACTTCTCCTGCTGTTCCCAGTAAGGTGAAGTCAGATTTCCCCTTCTTCACCACTTCATTGTACTGTACAAAGTCACCCCATTGCTAGTCTCCATATTCATCTCTGGGGGAGAGCTTCTACTTTGGGATAATGGGGAACAATTTATGGATTGATGAAGAAGCTTATGGCAAGGACTGGCAGGAAGAGCTCTGACTATCATCCTCATCTACTTTGGATCACAGACCATGCACAGCTCCTTCTGCAGTGCAAAGCCCCATAACATCTTGCTGGGGTCCAAGTGCTGCATCAGCTTCGCCTGATGTGTCCTGAGTTACCTGTAACCCTTTCCTGGGGTACCTAGGCCCTCTTTGAGGTCTCTCATTGTAGTACCAACCTAGCCTAACCCTGCTTAGCCTGCAATCTGAGGAACCTGCTGGCTGAGTGAGTCTGGACAAAAGATCCCAAAGTAGAGGCCATGCTCCCCCTACGGAGGAAGGCAAAACCCCTCACAGTCAGTACCAACCAGACCATGGGGGAAAATTCCTTCCTGAGCCCCAATACAGCAATCAGTCTGACCCTGAGCAGAGGGGAAGACCCTCTAGCCAGGAACTTCCAGATTTAAGTTCCAGCAGGAGCATTGGCACAACCCAGTCAAAATCCCAGCCTTGGGTGCAGACAACACTCAATATCTCTGAAGAAGGCTTAGAAATCTGCCTGACTCATGTAAAGCACTGAAACAGCTACCCAGAGAGGTGGTGGAGTCTCCATCCTTGGAGGTTTTTAAGACCCAAGTAGACAAAGTCTTGGCTGGGACAATGGAGTTGGGGCTGGTCCTGCTTTGAGCAGGGGGCTGGACTAAATGAGCTCCTGAGGTCCCTGCCAACCCTTGTTTTCGCCGATTCTATTATTCTATGATTCTCAGGATTAGAAACCCCCTGACTCAAGTAGTGGCAAGGGGGGGGAGCAGAATTCCCTCCCAGCCCCGTGGGGCAACCAGCAACTTAGGCACAGCTACGCCTGTATCATCCCTGACCAGTGGCTGTCCAACCTCTTGATTTCCCTCCTAGGACCTGGCCACTTGGGTCATGCTGGTGTTTTCTGAGTCTAACCTGAAAGGAGTTGTCTAGCCCGGGTCAGTCACCAATGATTCTGCATCAGTGCATTGCAGCCCTGCCCTGGCTGAGTCTCCAGTGTTTCCTTTCAAAGGCTGAAAAGCTGAGGATTTGAAAGGGGAAGAACACTGTCCTGCAAGGGCGGCAGCCTCGGACAGTGACTACGTACAGCACTGTTTGCTGTCGGTTTGAGCCGGTGTTAACAGCTGGCCTTGGGATGATGCGGTCCGTTTTGCATCCGTGTTTTTGCCTGGGCTCGAGTCCCAGATACTCAAGGCCAGGCCTTGCATGGGACAGAGCCCTGTGCCCAGAACGAAATGGGTTCAAGAGGACTGAACCCAAAGGCTGTAGATCAGCATGATACAACATGCTAATGCAAATTAGGGCCGTGCAGCCCACATCACACAGCATCCAAATCCCTGAATCTGCCTTAAGGCTCCACGTGGGCTGTCTGCACTAGAACCGCGGGTCCTGCTTTATCACAGAGCATTGCATTACACAACAGTGACCACAAGTGACTGCAGTGACCATACGCCCAGGATCAGAACTGCAACTGCCTTACCTGGGTCATGAAAGGGGACCAACACATAGTTGCTAATGGCTTTTGTAGCCTTGCTGAGGGTCTTCTCCATGATCCGGGATGCTCCTTCTATCACTTGCATCAAGTCGTCATACATGGAGCCAGTGACATCAAAGACAATGGCCAGGGTGGCTGCTCCAGACCCAGGGCTGGGTTCTGCAAGGCTGGGGGCCAGGAGCAGCCAGAGGCCCAGGAAGAGCCCTGCTCTGAGATGCATTGCCTGGGAACAGCCTCCTGGTGCCCAGGGCTGGACTACCCCTCGGCTCATGCAGGTGCCCAGAGACCTGCTCTTCACCCCCAAGCCTTTGTGCAGCTCCTCTGCTGGCTTCCTCCTTTTGCAAGCGGCTCTGTTTCCAGCAAAGGGCTGGGAATCCCTCAGTAACCCTCCCTTTCCGCCCTGCCCAGGGCCCAGAATCAGACGGCTGCTTCTTTAGCTGCTTCCACAGGAAGAGAACAGACCTCCCGGCTGCAGACACCGCTCCTCTGGGCCCCTTCCATTCATCCCTCCCTGCTCCCAGCCACCCCCTGCAGCAAACCAGAGCAGCTTGCCGGGATGCTGCACTAGCAGCCCCTTTGCCAAGGAGCCCTCTCGCTCACGCCGGGCAGGAGACACAAGTGACGTCCAGCCCCGAGAAGCGCCGTCCCTGGCAGCTGCAGGCAAGAACTCCTCCAGAGCTCAACTTCTGGGAGGGAGAATTAAAGGACTTTCCAGCAGCTCCCCAGTGTGGAGAGGGGTGGGGGCCGGAAGAAATGAGCAAGGGGGGACTGGAAGCCGGTCCTAGAGCCCACATGATTCACTGAAACACTCGCCTGCTCCCCCCTCGCACTCCTCTCCCACACGCCTTGACCCTGCCCCTGGCCGTCTGGATGCAGGGGTCACGGGAGGACGATGGGGCCAGCAGCTAATGGATAGGGGGATCCAGGCCAAGAGGGGGTGATCCTTAGGGAGGGCAGAACAGATGTGATGTTGGCACACCAGACCCCCCCCCATAGCACACAGGGCCAGCAAACCGTGGGTGCTCCCACAGCAGGTGGGACTGTCCATGTGAGCAGCCAAGGCAGCGTCATCTCTGGACCCCCCCAAGGGACAGAAGGAAGCCGCAAGAGAGGCCTCCAAGCTGCAACAAAGACCTAGCAAACGCAAGTCGTGGAAAAACCCGTGGCCAAGGCTTGGGGGTGGGAAATGCGTTCCTCGCTGGGGAGCCAGGACTTATTCGAAGCCAAGGAACAAATAGTCAAGAGGCGGAGGGGAGATCCAGCGAGGGGGGTGGACAGAGGGTTTCCTGGCTCCTTTTAAAGACAAGCCACGGCGCTCTCGATGAGCTAATCTGCGAGACCTGGGCACAAACACACCGCTGTCGCTCCATTTCTAAACAGGGAACTCCAGGGAGCGAGCAGCAGGTGAACCAGGCGCTGCAGGGCAGGGGCGGGGGGGGCCATGTGTCTGTGCTCCCGCCAGCAGCTCCGAGACCTCTCTCCGCTCCCCCCGTGCAGCCAAAGTCGGCTCTGAGCTACAGCAGAGCAAGCCTGTGAACGTCCCTGGGATCCCACCAGGGAGGGCAGCTCAGGATCCCAGGCCTGGTCTGCAAGAGGCTGAAGGGGTGCAAAGGCCTCCTTATAGTCTGGCTTGATTCATCTGAGCTTCACACCTGGTTCCCTCCTCTGCAAAGACGCTCATTACTGAGACCGTCTATCACAATCCCTTGCCCAAAATAATTTACTGGCTAGTGAGCTGTAAAGAGGGGCCTTATCTACGGATGCTGATCAACCTCCTAATTCAGTCGCTGAAGCCAGCTGGAGCCAGTAAGAGATGTTTCAGTCCTTCCTTGCATCTGGTTACATGTACCTTTTACAAGCAGCTAGTGCTCTCACCCCTGGGCTCCCAGGTGAAACCTAGGTAGGCTGCAGTAGTGTGCATTGTACAGGAAACCAGCCCAGAGGGTCACGGGAATCCCTCCTGGCCCTTACCCCATGCATCTGCTGAAGTTGTCATCTGCAAGTCCCCTTCACTAAAGAAGCCCACCACAAAGCAGCTGCCAGCAGAGACCCTGTGGGAAGCAAACCTTAGCAAATGCTGAACCAGCTCTGCAGGACTTCCCTGTGGTCAGAGCACGGGAACATTCCCAACAGTGAGATGGGGCCGAAGTGAAGATCCATAGACTTTGTTTTAAGTGGCATGTCCCACATTCGGCTGCCAATGCAGCTGAGATCTACGAGGGCTTGTTTTCCCATCATTATTTCATGTTAACAGAAAAAAATTAGGACCCTTCAGAGTTCCTGTTAATTAAGCAGAAGCAACATGAATATCGAAGGAACACCAACCAATGCCATAAATCAAGCAAATGACAAGTCAAAGAATTTGTTCGCATTGCTGGAAATAACCAGAGACTGACAATTATTTCTGAAAGTCACTAATTCTGCTCCTTCCACCGAGCGCACTGCCCACAAGCTTTATGTCCTGCCTCTGGCTTGGTGGTTAATGGCAAGGGACTCAATTCCCTCTTGCGCTCAGGCCCCGCTGCACCACTGACGGATAGAAGGAAACAATGATCCCACGGCTGAAGGGCTCTACCGGAGTCTTGCTCAGCCCTGGGAGTTCATGGGGGCAAGCAGGGCCAAACCATCCTACTCAACAGCTGCTCTTTGCTTCCTAGGACCAATACAAGGCCCTGGAGAAGCGGAGCAGAAGGGAGCTGCCTTGAGGCAGCTCTGGTTGAAACCCAGGTGCAGCTCCACCCAAATGGGATTAAACAGGATTGAAAGTTTCCTACTCCAAATAAGGGGGGCGGGGAAATCAAGCTAGGTCTCCTGGACAGATCCACAGAAAGGTAAAAGTGCTCCCAGTTCTGCTGGGGTCACAGCAAGGAGGGGAAGGGGCCGCCAACGTAAGATCCAGCTCATTCCCTTCTTTACTTGCAAGATGAAGTTGCTTGTCACCAGAACTCTTCGCAGCGGTCGTGGTTGTGCAGGATATTCAAAACCCACAGGGACCAGGGATCTGAATGAAACCTTGGCCTAAAGCCCACACTTTCTAGAGCACACACATACACACACACACACACACACACACACACCTCTTTGGCCCAAAGCCCACACTTCCCAGAGCTTATACACACACGCACTTCCCCCCTTTGCTTGTCTACATGTGCATACACACTCCTCCCACTTTGCTTGTCCACCTCCCTAACCCCTTGCCTGTCGAAGCATCATCAGCTTGGGGATGCTATTTTTCTGAGCCCCAGTGTGCCAGTGGGGTTCTCCGTTCATATGGGTGGGGAGGGAGCCACACAAGGCAGCCCCTTCCCTCCCCCATGGCTCACTGAGCCCCACTCCTTCCACGCTGGCTCCTCCCTGCCCAACCCCATGCCAGGTGAGGCCTGGCAGACACCAGGTCATGGTGCTTTCCCAGGGGGCGAGTGCAATGCATGGAGTCTGGTCAGCTCCATGTTCCTCGGGAAGCTGCCCCTTCGAGCAGAGCATGACTCACTGATTCGTGAGTCGTGCTCACGAATCAGGCACCCCAGGGAGTGCACAGGGGAATGCGGCTCCCAGGCACCCCAGGGAGCCGCAGCACCCTGGGGTGCCTGAAGATCCTTTTAAGGGTGCCACGACATGCTAGCAGAGGCGTGCAAACATGATGCATAAAATAAACCCACAGATTTCAAACAGGAATCGGCAGCATTCACATTCTGACCTGCTGAGCTCCAGGCTCTTTGCAACAAAAGAATTGCTTTAATATTTTTCGAGACAAGTGAAAACGAAGAACTGGCATTTTCAGAAGGGGGCCCCAAGTCTATAAAGGCTGAGAAGCACTGGTGTAACTGGAAGGTGCACAGATGATCAGCTCAGCTCCTGCGGCCTGCACCTGAGGTTGGAGTCAGCACAGCACCTTCTTCACCTTCATTCATTCCCATGTAGCGCGGGCTCTGTGTGCAGCCCCCTAGGACTTTTGGTTCTGCTGGTCTTTAAGGCTTCAGACTTCCTGCTGCGTTATTCCCATGGACCTTGGGCTGGAGCTCACACAGGGGTCTGCCCCGTGCACTACAAAACTCTCTAGCCAGCTGGATGCATTTAATCTATTCACATCCCAAATGACACCTCACCCACACACTTGCAGCCTCTGCTCTGACACGGGCCCAAAACCCCACAGGCTGGGGAAATGGCACAGGCAGAAGATAGCCCTAGCATAGCTTGCAAAGGCTCTTCTACAAAGGATACTCATCAGCAGAAAGCAAAGCAACCCTCCCACCCCCTATGTAAGAGGCAAGAGAGGTGGGGCTGGGTCAACCCTACCAAGCTGATGCCCTTACCCTGCCAGGGCACTTGCCAAACGACCTACACAGAACATCACTGAAGTGCATCTACAACCAGAGCTTGTGGCACAAGTCAAGACAAGGGTGGTTTTTGGCTCAGGACACCCAGGGAAACCTTCGTTTGGGTTAGAAGGGTCTGATTTTCAGAAGCCCTCAGCTCACTTAGCTCAGCTTCCACGTGTGAAGTTGCAATGGTGATGATTGTTTTCTCAAATACAAACCCAGCACAGATGTCGCCTAGTTATCCAGACCGTCACGCTCCCTCAGAATCATGAATCACTCTTGTTAGGATGGGAAACAAATGGAGATGTGCTGGTATCAAAGGATTCGCACGTGTCTTTCGTGCTTGCTTCCAGATTTGGCAGTGCAAAGCTGCAAATGCTGAAAGCATAATCCACGCCAGGGGCCCAGTCTCCATCCATGGCCAAATTGCTCCAGCAGATGTAACAGTCTGAGGGGGAGGAGAAGCTCAATTAGGTTCCATATGACACAATTAGCAGATATGAATATCAAGCAGCCTCCGCATCAGCTGCAGGCCGAATCACAAATGACAGCTTTGGTGTACACGCTAAGAACCGGCATCCCAGAGAAGAGTGGCTGCAGAACCAAATGGAAGGGGCTGCAATCCTGTCCATTGTACAGGGGAAATCTGAAAAGGCCGGACTGAAAGC